TGGCCCTGTGCAGCCTCCTCCCTCATATTGAACTGGAACTAGGTATATGGAAGTTGTGGACCAATAACATCTGGAGAGCTGCACAGTTCCCACTCCTGGAATAAATCCTGTTGGTAGTCCCTTGGATCAAAGGGATTTGCATAAATGTTGTTTCACCACCCATCAATTGATTCAATAGATCGACTCTACTCCCCCATGGGTACCTATCTGAGAACCTGCCCCTCCTGATTTGTTTTATATTATATATGTTAATTTAAAAAATAATAATCAAGAATGAGGTTTGCGACAAAGTAAAATGCTCTTTTGAGCTCTCCACCACCCTCTTTCCAAGAATAAATTTGGACTTCAGCAATTGTGCATGACTATAGCCAAGTGCTTTGTTTTGAATCATTTTTGTTAGCCATGTTGAAGGAAGAAAATTAAATACATTTAACTGAAATTAAATACATTTCTTCCTTGGAAAAGACGACACAGGATGAAAAGATGCTTTACCTATCCCCACTGTCCAAGTATGAGAGATCAAATAATCTCCCTGCCTAACAGCCATTGTTGCAGCTACATTTCATTTCATGAGGAAGGATCAAATGCCTGATCTTCACACCAGAGTAAACGTTACAGCAGGATGCCTTTCTAATCAATAATGGAATTGATTAAATGGTGAATGGCTTATGGTGCACTATATCTGACTGCTGCACTTACGTCTGAAAAGCACTTACAAGGCCCCTAAGATGAAAAGTGGTACAGAAACATAATGCTTCATTGCTTTCTTGTGAAATGACAGGGCTTAACCTGATCATTATCCAGTTCAGAACCCCCAGTATCACATTGCTTTTTAACAAACTGAGATGGGTGAGTGGGGAATCTGATAAACTCACAGTGCCCATCAAAGCTGCAATGTTTACTGTATGAAAATAGTAAGATCACTTACATCAAATCACCTTTGCTCCTGCATTATTCCTCCCCCCTGCAATTATCTGTATTCATTCACATCCTATCCTCTCATTTTGCATTCATCCTTTTTGTCTTACCCTGTCTATGATACCTAAGATAATGGCTGATGCTTGGAGTTGACCATTTTTCACTCTAAAATGGTCTTGGCATGCCAAAGGTATTTTTCAAAAAAATCCCCAAAGCAAGCATCTTCAATAGCAGTTAGCAGTTAGCAGTTTGTATTTTATTTTATTTTATTTTATTTAATCCCGCCTTTTTCCCAAAGTGGGACCCAAAGCGGCTAACATATATATAAAACACATTAAAACAACAATTAAAATTGTACAATTAAAACTGTAAAATATATAAAAATTACAAATATAAAATTTAAAACAGAGTTTAAAATAATAATCATAATCTAAAACTAACCCCCCACCCCCCAATAAAACCAAGCCTGCAGGATTTTAAAAGGCTTGTTTAAACAAAAATGCCTTCTCTTGCTGGCGAAGGCCAGCAGTGAAGAGACCAGCCTAGCCTCCTGTGGCAGGGAGTTCCACAAGGTGGGAGCAGCCACTGAGAAGGCTCTCTCTTGTGTCCT